GAAGCTTAAACAGTTCCTTGTTAGCTTCCTTGCTGGGCGTTGAAGGTTCACGGTGAGGGAGACTGTCTTTATTTTGCTCTCATCAAAGTGGTTGACTAGGCTGAGACAGGATCGGTGTTTGGTGGAGTTCTTATTTGGTTTCACCATGGTCGGTATGGTGATTTTTTGGATAATTTTGGTTGTTTTTCTTAAGGGTTGATTAAATTTCGATACACGAAAATCATCAGTAATTACTGTGCACGAGATTACGTGTACTCTTAGTAGTAGGTGTTTAAGTGTGTATGAAAGTTGAATTATAAGATTAAGATTATTGAACTTCGGTGTGAGATTTCCGAAGTTCCGATTAGTTACTTGTGTAGATCTGGTACTCAATCTACACGGGGTTCTTACTATTCAGAACTCCTGACATCTTAGTTTCGTGCGAGGTAATCTATTTCTGATATCGTAGACCTCTTACGATCCTCGGACCTCTTACGTGTTCAGTGTTCTTATGATGCATCCTATGATACATACATAGGAAGCATACCTTACGATAGGTACGTAGGAATGGTATGATCCTTCATTCTTTTCTTCGGAGCTTCGTATCGTATACGTACGTATCCGTTGCAAACAAAAATATAAAAAGCAGAAATAAGATAAGACATACCTTCGAACAGAGTATAAAAGAGAACAATAGTTTTGGTTGTTAGTAAAAGAATGTTGGTGAAACCAAAAGAAAAACCAATACAGTGGCTTCGATTTTGAAAGAAAATATAAGAAAAAGTCGAAATGATGATATTTTAGAGGTTGTAATGAGAAAATGAACGGCAACGATAGAAAACAGTACAAACCCTAAAAAAGGGCATGAAATTTGTGCTGAGAAACGAAGGGTGCGAGAACATGTTCCAGGGAAAAGGGCCGTGAGATTCTAATTTGAGCATAGAAAAACACGTGCGGGAATTTGTTTTCGTGCACGCAGGAAACTTAAAACACCATTATATCGGTTTGTGTGACGTTCTTCTTACTAGTACTACCTAGTAGTTCATCATAAGGTTAAACTAAATGATAATATTAAGATTTTCTTTCAAAATGTAAGAGGCAATTGCAGATGGAATGTGGCTCCCTACAGGAGCTGCAACAGCAAGAGCTATACTAGTACTACTAGTAGATGCCTCCTCTCCACCAGATCTTGCACCACCATTTGGCATATTCCAGGAGACTGCTACTGAGGAAAGTTTCTGGTGAGAGGGAGCAGGAGGAACAATACTGGAATAGATGTATTCCTAAAGCTGGCTGTTGCTAGCAAATCACTCCTACTAGTACCAACTTCCATTGACTGCCTAATAGTACTGCTGTGCACCATTGGTTTGCTGAATATACAACATCCAGCAGGTGCTTTGCCACCAAACATTGGCAAATTTTACTACTGCTGGAGCTGTAGTAGGAAGTTTTAGAGCACCTATTAGTATGATGTACTACAAATGCCTTGATAAATTGGTGGCTTGAGATCTTCCATGATCTGTTTCAACTTTACTTGTTATCCTTGATTTATTTTTGTTCTGGTGGTATTCTTGATCTGTGGCAATTTCCCTCAGTTGACCAAGAATACTAAATCAGGAATTGATAGAGAATAAACACAGAATAGGAGATGATTGTGCACTATCAACCTTTTGTATGCCTTGGAAATATAATGCACTGTGTTCTGTTTTATTCCCCACCATTTATTCTCGAAGCATCCATCAACTATCAGTTACCAAAAGTAAAGTCCTATTAATGATGCGTGTGCCCATATGATAGTTCCTCAATTTCCCATGGGTCGTGCTACTTGATTGGAGAAAAGCCCGCTCTGTATGGCTAAAAAAGCTGCTCAATACTGCAGCAATTTCAACCTCTGCATTGGTCTCTACATTACTAGTAAGGCAGTTTTACTGCCAGAAGAAGCAATACTAGGCACTACTAGTATTACAAATTGCATAGTATGAGAGAACTACTATTAGTATTGGTATTACGAAATTATATGAGTAGGAACCAGTACTATTAGTAATCCCTCGCAACTGCTAATAGTAGTGCTATTGCTTCTACACTGTATGATGATGCTATGGTCATGTATTCCCTTTTTGTTCTTTGCTGAAAAGAGGACAAGTATTGTAGTTTTGCCAATTATTGGAACTCAAACCAAGCAAGTGCAGTATCTGTACTGACAGTTTCAAGCGAGACTTCTTTCACAAACTATTCGTACTGCACTACTACATCATGTTAGATCGGTCGCGTCTTCGTCGTTGTCATTTTCATTTCCCAGGCTGCTCGTCAGACCTTGTAAGCTAATACCGCCGGGGATTGTGATCCGAGATGCTGAGCTATTGACTCGATTTTGCATTCGCCGAATGTCGTGAAGAGTTTCCGATGGTACCGTTGAACTCCAAAAGGCATCCTTGAATCTCGCCGGTCTGTCGAGCATCTCCGGTGGATTGTAAGAGGGTCCCTGGTCGCCGTCGTTATTGTCGTTGCGGCTGTTGTCTTCGGCGTCGTCGATCGGTTGGTTATGTTGCTGAACCTGTTCATAGTCCCCAATGGCGTTTTCCACGGTCGACGGCAAGTATTCCTTGTAGGTGAAGGTAAAAGAGTGGGCAATGGCAAACATTACCATTTCGACACATATGCAATAATCTATCAGTCCGTTGGCAACTTCATCCCCCGTCCACGAACCGACATCGCCAATCACACCATGTGCTTTGAGGTAGAATATAAGAACCCCTTGCCACCACGTGAAAAATACCACACCTTTGATGCACAAGAACTTCCCCAAGGGGTGCCAATTGATTGGATACCTCAGTTCATCCTGGACGGCATGGAAGAGTTTGACGAGAGAGTATAGCGCATACATAACGCTGATATTCATCAAAAAGGCTAGGTAGGGATACGGCGATGTCCATACAAATTGCCCTTCCCCGTACATTCCCAGGGATTGGAATATGTATGTCATAATAGTGAATCCCGTCTTTGCCACAACATACTGCAGAGCTCCGTGTTTGCACTGCAACATGAATTCAACCCCTAATTCCCATGGCTCCAGAACGAGACTCAGTGGAAAAGTGTGCTGGGCCAGGTGATCGGCCAAGGCTGGATCGTCTCGAACCTTTTTGCGGAGCGTGCGCACCAAGGCGTCTTCTCCACCCAGTAGCTCAATGAGATAGTATACAAAGCTGGCAATGACAAATGCCTCGTATAGATCGCGAATAGCATCGATGTATATCCGTGCATGGTGAAAACGAAGGCTGAGCCAGGATTGAACCGCGTAGATGGGAACCATTAGAATGATTCGAATGACGTACTTTTGCACCCCGGGCATGTACCAGTGGGTAAAATGAAGATAGATCAGGCGCACCGACATGATAAGAGTCCCAATGACCATGACGCCCGCCGAGTGAAATGCTGCCACCTCACCCTTACCGTCGGAAAGCGCCTGATAAATGACAAGGGGGACAAGAAGAAGCATTGCCAGGAGAGTTGTATTGGCAACATGCGGACCGATGCTTCTCATGATCAGTCGAATCCTAGAGTGCTGTCGACTCTCTACACTCATTCCTTCGTCATTATCGCCAACGTTGTCATTTATCTGATCGGTATCGTTGTTATTGTTATTTTCATTGTTGTCGCTGTTGCCGTCTGCCAATAGGCTCCTGGTCAAGTCGTTTTCGTCCAAGAGTTCAGAATCGGCGGAATCCTCCTGCGAAGAGGAAGGCGGGGCGAGTGAAAAGTTATTCGATGGATGACTCGGGCTTGCCTCCCCCGACATGATTCACGTCGACCTTTGTTGCTGCAGAAGTTAGTAAAATGCGACCGATCAAAAGAAGCTCTTCAAACTTGCCCACGGTATTTTTCTCTTCCCCGAAAAAGTAAGTCGTGGTTTCGGTTTCGGTTTCAGTTTCGTTTCTGATTCTGTTTCTTCTTCCACCGTGAAGTCGTTGCAATTCCTTCTTTCACTCAAGAATAAATCAATCGATCAATCTATTGCTACTTCTGCTATTTCAATTGTACAATTGTGGTTACACTTGTGCAAAGCGTCGAATAATTGTAGCTCGCTACATACGGAAGAGGAAAGAAGGTAAGCAAAAGTGATTGAGTTGACAACAGAAGTCTAGTGGGATCGATGTTCTGTTGCCTCCATGTACGGTACGTACGGTAAGGGCAACTAGGGCGAGTTTATGTACCGTGAGGGAGGGTGTTTTCAGCTTGTCGTATTCGGTAGGTACGGTAAAGTACGGTACGTTTCGTACAGTCATTACGAACTTCATGGGTACGACTAGTAGTACGAGTACGATAGTACCGGTAGTACTCGTACTCGCATTCATGATGTTGTAACGTATCTATCAGTTGAGAGGATTTTTTACTGAGCAAATCGTAATGATATGTACCTATGATTTGTAGATATTGAACATACTGATCTATTCGAAAGCATTGTACGGTACGTACGGTACGTTACTACTTACTTATTTACCCCTGCTTGTTTACTCGTACGTACSTACTGTATCCAGTACATAATCGTATGGGTTTTGTCTCGAACAAGCGCTTACTTTCTGCGCTGCGGGAGCGGAGGGGATGGAGACACTTCTCGTAGTATTACTCGTAGTTGGAATGGAGTGTATGTACCTTATCGTACGCTAATATACCGTAGAATCTCTACTACCGTACGATGTTGATGAGGTAATTACCGGCAAGTAACCTTTTCCCATCTGGTGTAAAATCTACGAGTACATGTACCTACAAACCCTACGTACCGTACGTTCTGCACCCATCGAATACAGAAATGAAAAATCTGCATCACCGTCGATTACAGTAAAAGGAGTCCTGTAACTGGTTGACGTCAACGAGAGACAACAGAAAAGAGTTCGACCCAGTGGTTGAGGCGTCCAGATCAATTAACCCTATCATCTAGAGTGCGCCAGAAAGCAAAAATGTCTGATATATCGGCAGAGGAAGCCCTGCTGAAAGCGAAAGAAATCGCGGCGCGTTTGACCGGTGCCGTTGGTGTTGGTGTAGCGAATGTCAACGCCACCGGTGGAGATTCCTCGATCCCCAACGCCGGCGTCTCCACGGCGGTTGCAACAGAAAGTTCAGCCTCAGCCGCAGCCGCTGCTACACCTTCCTCTTCGGCACCTTCGACAGCTCCGACTGCACGCAGCGAACGAAAGCGAAAACGCTGGGGTTCGGCACCGGGGGCTCCCGTGGCCGAAGCCCTTCCGGGTTTGRCCGAAGCTAAGCTCAGACAGGAACAATTGCTGGCGGAAAAACCCGCCGGCCCTTCCACCAAGCGCGTATGGGTCCCAACCACGAGAGAACGAGGAGAAGCCCACTTTTTCAGTTTCTTGAAGGAGCGCCTGCCGGAGTTGTCGGCTCGCATTAACAGCAGCGAGTTCAAGGGAGACGAACAAAACGGAATGGAGCTCGGTGGACGGGGTGCAGAGACCCAACAAATATATGGAATGCCCCTGGAACCGATGCATGTTACGATTAAGGGATCTGACGCCTTCATCGCTGCCGCGGCCCCTCGATTGGAAGAGCTCTTGGCGGAGGGAGAACGAGCGGAACGGGAGGGACCACCTCCAGAAGACGACGGAAAGAGGCTCGAGGATGGCAACAAGGACAAGTACTCATCATCAGCCCTGACGTTAACCAGACCGTATTACCAAGCGGATCACGCATCGAGGCCAAAATCAGAGTACCGTCCTGCCACTGTCGCGCAACTAATTTCCGGCAACCCCGACGTTCTTGGCGATCTAGGAAAAGGTGCCGGAGGAGACGGAAATGTCAAACTCTTGGAGGAATCCATCCGAGTTCCCAACGGTGTAGTTGGTTTTATCATTGGGCGAGGAGGAGAAACCATCAGCTCCATGCAGGCCCGGTCTAGCTGCAAGGTTCAGATCCAAAAAGAGCACGATCTTCAGCCGGGACAGACGGAACGAATCATTACCCTTCAGGCCGTGAAACAAGAATCCATTGACGAGTGCCGAGAAATTATAGAATCGATGGTCCGTGATCGCGTTCGAGCTGCCGGTGGAAATGCGGGGCACCGTGCTTCGAACGCCGGAGGCGGAGGAGGAGCCGATTATTACGGACGCAGCCCTGGGGTCGGTGCCGGGAGTGGCGGCCGGACCGACAACACCGAATCAAAGGTCCAAGAGGCACTCGCGGGAGGACACAAGCTCGTCACGGTCGAGGTTCCTGATGCCGATGTGGGACTGGTCATTGGAAAGGGGGGATCCACCATCAAGTTTATTCAAGAAACGACGGGTTCTTCCGTTCAAATCCCGCACTCCGCCACCCCCGAGAATCCTTCCGTGCGTTGTATTAGTATCACCTGCCCAACCGAACAGGGAGCCGAGTCTGCCAAAATCCAAATCCTGAACATTCTCAAGAACAAAATGTCGAACAGCAACCACACGGCCCACAGTGCCCACAACAACCACGCCAGCAACCAGCCACATGCCGCAAGTGTCCAGGTCGCCGTACCAAACAAAGATGTCGGACTTTGTATAGGTCGACAGGGGTGTGTCATTCGACAACTGCAAACCAAGACAGATACCCGCATCGATATACCCCAGCAACCACCTCCGGGACAAAACGTAAGGATTATCACCGTCACCGGGCCTACCCAAGAAGCATGTGAACTCGCCAAGACCTACATCGAGCGGATCGTGAATGAACAATCTTCCGCCAGCATCATGACTGGGTCTCCCTACAACAATGGCAATCAAAACCACGCGGGCAACCGCCACCAATATGGTGGAATGGGCCTGGGATATCAGAATCAATATCACAACAATCATCGCCACCATTCCAATAACGGCTACAACAATAACAACAACAGCGGTGGCGACCAAAATGCGGCTCAGAGCAACGATCCAGCCTGGCAAGCCTATTATGCTGCACAAGCCATTGCTAACAAACAGCAGCAGCAGCAACAACAACAGGCGGCCGCAGCCGCAGCTCCCGCTTCGGATGCGTATTACGAGCAATTCCACAGGTACGCTTACTATTATGGGGAAGATGCCGCGCGACAATACTACGGAACCTGGTCTCCCCCTGTTGGGACTCCAAACCCTTACGGCGTGAATCCTGACGGTATTACAGCACCTCCGGTGGCCGACACTGCTGGAAATGGACCGACACCACAAGCTCCAGCGTCAGCACCAGCGCCAGCGAATACCGCTCAGGTGGATACCGCTCGGGTTCGTGATTCCAGCGTCAGAAAGGTGTCCAACCTACCGGCTTGGATGACAAAATCTAAATGATGGAAAATATCAGGACCAACAAAAAGACGGACAAGAATGTCGCGAAAATCGAACGAATGGATAAGAAGAACATACGCTTTGTGTGCGCGTGAATTATTCAATTTGTCTTTCGTCATTCTTGCTCTTTCTCTCGATGTATGTCGTTTTCCCTGTACCTCTACCTCAGCAGCACATCATTGATACCGTCCTTGAATTGAGATTTAGTGTAATTGGAAACTTCGTTGGCAAATCGGAACAAAATTGAAAATTTGGTAACTTATTTACTTCGTGTGCAAAAATCTTTTCCTATATTTCATCTATGCATTGCAATTTGGCAATTTTATTATATTTTGATCAGTATTGACTTCAGCCAAACCATTGTTTCATGGTATTGATGTATACAGCAATATTCCTTATATTGCAGTGTCTCTACTCGTCGCCATTGCCCTTTTTTCTCTTCATGATCTCTTACCAAATGGTTTACACCCTTTCAATCGTCATCGAGGCATTCCAGAAAAATATCGAAATCATTTTTGTTTTTCCGTTACCATGGGGTACGTGTCATCAGCCACAACTGTTTAGTTTTCGTTTGCCTGGAAAGGGAGGATACCGTATGGTAACTTTTTGTGTCTTTGTTCTGGTGTACCTGAGTCCTTCGAAGATCTCGTAGTCGAGAAAGAATTGTGTCAGCGGCAAAAGTCAACGAATGATGAAAGTGCCAGGAGCATATCACGTCATGAGGAAGCATTGTTTCATCAGATCTCACTGCTTTCTTGGGGGCAAAATATTCATCGTGCCTATTAGGTGATTCGCCCCGTGGCGTTGTGGGGTCCTCCACAAGAACCACTTGTGGTGTGACTGCATTTTGTCAGTATGAAGGTGAATAGCGTAGTACATTATGAAAAACTTGTTGGAGGTGCGAGCACGCACTTTCAGATCTAGACTAAGGTGCAAGGTACAACTATGATTAGTTGTTAGCATTACAAATACTTATCGTATTTCACGATGATACCTTAATAATTTCCCAGATGCTCAAAATTTGATGATAGTAGTACGTAGTAGATCGAAGGAACGGTATCGTACCAGCTCGTAGTAAGTTTCAGAATTTTCCACGTCATGTTTCAAAAATGAGAAGAAAAAAAATGAACTTACTTTACCGTACGCGTACGTACTTACTCGTACCTCTGCGCGCGCTGCGCCCTCGGACCAACGTAGTACGAGTACAGTTCGTGAAGTAGTTACCCAGTACTTTCGTGACTGAATTCTCTTCTCCGTACACCTACGGGTAAAGTACGAGTACCTACTGTTACCATACCCCTCCAACGTTATTGATGCTGTTTTGAGACCTCTGCGATCTTCCCGAAAGAAATATGTGATCTACCATTGCATTGATGGCACGGTACAATAGTTTTGCGAAAAAAGAGAGAATCCCATGCTCTCTATTATGTCCAGCATCACGGCGAAATCATCTGCGACATCTTATCGTCTACGATACCGATTGCGCGAGGTTACCTTCTTCTTTGCTTTGGCAGCGTCTCCACTTGCGGCTTCTTTCGGTGTCTACGCGAACAATCAGTCTCGACTTCCCCTCTCTACGTTTGGAGTCGTCGGTCGATCTTCGTCGCCACTCTCTTCCAATTCGATCTCCGTTAAAGCAACTCGATTGTCGACTGATAGTGCAACGAGCACAGAGCAGGCACAAGACTCGGGCGCCATGACCTCGTCCAAGACATCAGCTTCGAAACTGGAATTACTCCGGGCAAGAATGGAAGAATTGTCACTTGATTGTTACCTCGTTCCAACTGACGATCCGCACTTGAGTGGTAAGTTTATTATTGAATTCCGGAACGCCCAAAATCCTAGCATATCGCATCCCACGTTGTATAACTGAAACTCTATGGCTTTCGTTTTCTTACTATTATTTTTCATATCCTCGATGCGATGCGGTACGCGTACTTTCTAGAATATGCTCCAGCCGCTTACATGCGGAGGAAGTTCTTGACAGGATTCGGTGGATCTGCAGGTACGGCTTTGATTACGAAAGAAGAAGCGTTGCTCTGGACCGACTCGCGGTATTGGAACGAGGCCAATATGCAATTGGATTCGTCGCTCTGGAGTCTCATCAAACAAGGGCAGCCGAAGGTACCAACCATCGTTGAGTATTTGAGTAAGAAGGCCGGTAAGGAGCAAGAGGCGGCAACCACCAATGGCCATAAAGCAGAGGTCAAACCGCTTAGAGTGGGAATCGATCCCTATGTATTCGCATCTTCGTTTGCAGACGAATTCAAGGAAGGAATGAAGAAGGTCGCGAAGGAAGAATTAGACGACGAGAGCTTGGAAATCGGGGAATTGGTGCCATGTTACGACAATCTTGTAGATCCTATCTGGGAAGACGAACGTCCACCAGTTCCCTACAATCCCTTCCGAGTACACCCCTTGGAGTTTGCTGGCGTGTCGGTGGCAGACAAAGTTTCGAAGATTAGGGAAGAAATGGAAACCAAGAAGGCTACAATGGCTGTTTTTTGTACGTTGGACGATGTTGCGTATCTGCTAAACGTTCGCTGCATGGGAGATGTCGACACTTGCCCCGTAGGAATCGCTTATGTGACTGTTACAAAGGATGATGTCTATTTGTATTGCGACGAACGCAAGGTTGAATCAGCTGATGTTCAAGAACATTTGTCCGAAGTTACGATGAAGCCGTATGAGTCTATTGTAGAAGATATCAAAGAACACGCTAACGAGAAAGACTCGAACAATAAGGTATGGATTGACAAGTCTCGATCAAATTTGGCCCTCGTGAGTGTCATTCCAAAAAAGGCTTTGATTAACTCTCAAAACGCTATCACTCCAATGAAAGCGTGTAAAAATGAACAAGAATTGGAGGGAATGCGTAGAGCACACATAGTCGATGGGGCTGCAATGGCAAAATTTATAGCCTGGCTGGAGGATAAAGTTGTTGTACAAGGCGAATCTGTTAGCGAAGTAGAAATCGATGAAGTATTGACCGCATATAGAGCCGAGCAACCGGGTTTTCTAGAATGCTCTTTCCCAACCATTGCCGGAGTTGGTAGCAATGCTGCAATTATTCATTACAGTGCCAAACCGGGGGATCTCATGAAGTATTTGAACACCTCAGAGCCAATTTTGATCGATTCTGGGGGACAATACACATATGGGACGACTGACGTAACTAGGACTTGGCACTTTGGAACAGCAACCGATAGATTCAAGGAGATCTTCACTCGTGTCCTTAAGGGCAACATTGGAGTTGACACGATGATATTTCCCGAGAACACACCAGGTTTTGTCCTTGATGTAATGGCAAGGCAAAGTTTATGGGAAGGAGAGCTTGACTATGGGCATGGTACAGGTCACGGCGTCGGCGCGGCGTTGAACGTTCACGAGGGCCCTATGTCGATTAGTCCAAGGTTCGGAAACTTAGAGGGATTGAAGAACGGGATGGTGGTTAGTAACGAACCTGGGTAAGTTTCTTTAGTTCAAAACGCGCACTGATACGTTTGGATTTGAAAGTACTCAACTTAATTTCTATTKCTGTCATGGGATTTAAGTTACTATAAGGATGGCGCTTTCGGGATCAGGATCGAAAATCTCCTTGAGATGCAATACGTCAACCCCGAGCATAATGAACCCAAGGAAGAGAGTGAAACATCGGCAGAAAAGAAATATTTGAAATTTGCGAAGCTTACCCTAATTCCCATACAGAAAAACCTGATTGACTTAGAATTGATGACAACCAAGGAGCTAGATTGGCTTGATGCTTATCACGAGGTTGTTTTCGAGAAAGTGAGCCCCCTTCTCGAGGCCGGCAGCCCTGCGATGAAATGGCTGAAGAAATCGTGCGAAAAAATTGATCGGGGACCGAATTAGCTCGCTTCCGCAAACATTGCAGCGCTAAGGAGAAAAAGTCTAGTAAAAATCGGTATACGGATAGTCAAGAAATGTTACTTTTTCTTGCATTATGATTATTGGATAGATTCTTCCCACAGAATCGAGATTTTGGCGGGTCTTTGCCTTTCTTCTAGCGATATATTCTCTAGTATATCTTCGTGTTCTCTTTCTTTCGTGAAAAAGAAACACCCGTCACAGCGGGACACACCATTCGGGCCTCTGCTAGGATCGCCTATTGCATTTCGCAATGCAGGTATCGATATCGCAAAGGCACCGGTCAAAACATTGACTTGATACCCAAGTGTTGCCATTTGCGAGAAGCGCATAGTATTATAGCACATTTTCCCGCCGAACTCATCGATCTCCCTCACCATGTCTGACGTGATCATCCCCGCGCGGGGACCAAGATTATCAAACAGAAGGATGGGCGACGTATCCTGAGTGTAAAGATTGTAATGTTCTTTCTCTGTGAGAAGGCCTGTAAGTCTTGACTGAATTTTTTCGAGGGCTAGCGCATGGTCCTCGATAGTTATCTCGTTCTGAGATCTCTCGTCCTCATCGTGCTGCTGCATCAGTTGCCACCAAAGCTGTTCGATCATTTCGAACGGCTCGCCCCCCTCCGTTTCTCGAGTAGGAATATCGTTTACGCACTCGCTATCTTCCAACTTAGATACCGAGTCGAGGTTTCCATCCGAACGTGCCTCTTCCAATGATTTCGCGGTGAAGTCGTGATCTCCCTTCACGAGACCAAACTGGGGAATGGCATAAACAGCTCCCTGAGAATCCTTGTGGACTTGAGCTGTTCGATGGACTAGATACACAGTTTCTCGTGACGGGACAATGCCTCTTTCTAGTTCGTAGCCACTCGTCACAAATCTTGTCGGGGACGCATCAATCGCCATGTTCATCAAGGCTTTTCGACTGAAAGTGTCCAGATTTTCACTAAAAATGGCACCAACCAGAACGGTATCCATCCCAAAGTTGGTCAAGTCCGACTCGGGTCCAAGTTTCGTCTTCATCGTAGCAATGAAGTCAGGAGTCGCTCCGGCTACGTGAACCACAATCACGGTCGGTTGACCTTGCCAGTGGTTGAGGTAGAGCTCTAAAATCCGGTAGAAACCCTGCATTGCAGATGCATCGTGCACTTGATCGGCATGAAGTTGTAGCGTTATGGCCATCGTGACTTCTGAATCAATATCCACCGTAGACCACGCCGGGGCCCACGAAAGGATCTCCACGTTATCCGAGTCCCACCATGAAGTCATGAATTTGCATTTTGTGGTGGATGGATTTTTTCTTGGGGCAGATTGCAAGCAGTACAAGCGCCGAGGAAGGTCTTTGCGTCTGGCATCTTGCCACTGAAAGAGGGAGTGACCGAGAGGGGAAGTATTTGCCACGGCCTTGTTCAATTGCTTGCGATTTTTGTTGTCCGTCTTAGTAGAATAGATTGGCACTATTCCTTCCTTGGTCAAAACAAAGCCCGTGAAAGGTCCATTCCGCTGAAATCCACCGAGTTGTGCCTTACGGTAGTAACGTTTCCATTCCTGAAAATGAAAGAAGGGAGCCGTCATAATGTTTCCGGGCATCTTCGCTATTTCGAATTTTTCCTTGTAGAGTTGTCCGTGGATCCAATAAAGGGTATCGTTCGAATCAATGTTGTCGATGCATAGCTTTGACTGATATTTTGATTTGACCCAGTGCATGCACTTGACGTCTTCCTTTTGGACTGTCGGTGATAATGGAATCCGTTTCCCCACAGGTCTGTACAGCATTTCGTTGGAATTTGCATAGAGAGATCCCTTTTTCTCGAACCAATTCCTCGGCAGAGTCAACAATTCTTCTGGGTGATCACTTCCAGCTTTGTAAATAACGGTTTTGTCCTTTTTCGTCCCCGTAGTCACGTATACGCCGTGTGTGTATGCGGTGTCTTTCGTTTGCACGTCCGTAAAGGCCTTGACAGCGTATTTTACCTTGATGTCGTCGGTGTTAAGAATCGCTTCCGAATAGCATCCTTCGGCGGATTCCAAACTCAATTTTTCCTTGCCCGACAGGAAGTTTGCGAAACGCGTGTCCATATGAGATAGGTAGTCGCATTTTCGCCACAGCTGATTAATTCTTTCCGGATCGTTTCGGTGAAACGTAAACTGCCCTCTGAGATATACCTTGTCTTGGTCGCCAAATCCATACGTGACGATATCGAAATCATTAAGTTCGTCGGGCGTGATCCACCGCTCCAAATCTCCAAACAAAATATCCAAGTCCGAGTATCCCCAGTGCGAATATCCTTCCAGAAACTCTTCGAATACGTGTCCCAGCGCCGGTTTGAATTCTACCATTACGTATGGATACTTTCGAATCAATTTGGTCAGGATCCCCGCGAGTTTTTCTTTTGATCCACCCAGTTCCAGTTCGTCCTCGGGTATGCCGTCCGTGACTTTTACCAAGGCGCGAGAAAATTCTTCCATGGTTTCCAGGGAATGGAATATGACATTGTCCGGGCAAGAAAAAGAGGAAGCTGAAGATCCTTCCCCCAAAACACCATCGTGGATAATCAGAAAGTCCACGAGACCGGCCGACCCAGCCGCCGTGTCGCAAAAGATCTGGAGATAGGATGGGATTGCCTCTGGTCCTTCGCCAATGAATGGAATAATGATAGCTAATCGATGAGCTTTGTCGTTTGCACCTTTATGGAATGGGAAAACGTGCTTCCTATTGCTGCTGCTGTTGTCGTCGTTAGATGTTAGCGGTGATGTTATCGTTTTCAAGKAAACGAAGGAGAACGAGACGCAGACAACGGTCGCTATCAGACAGGCTAATCTCGCTGGGTGTAATCGATATATAGAAATTAGTTTCTTTGGTCGACCCGCCCTTTGATGGTGTTGGTGTTGGTAATCGTGAGTGTGCCGCCTCATGACCAAGCAATGTCCACTCCAGATTCGAGGTGGGGAACCTCGCCGTGCTCTGAGGTAGTATAACGAATGAAGCACTTGTAATTACTGGAGCAGCGACGGAGTCTGTTCTGGTTCTTTCACAAAATGGTAATCAATGCCTTCCGATGGGTAAGCTTTGCACCGTGTTGGTGAAAGTATAGTATCGAACACTTCCAACACACGGCATCACTGTCGGGCATCAGAACTTCGTTCACAGTTTCCAGAATTTCCATCGCCATCTGCTATCCAGCCCCTACAGGATTCCTACGTACCGGACTCTCAATACGCGACCTGTTGAATTACGGTACAAGTACTCGTACCGKTACGGTCACCAATTACCAGTGACCGTCCAAATCCAGCCCACCACCAATAACATACTGTTTCTCACAATACCGGCAGATAGTACGTACGTACCCGTACCCGCTTACAAGGTACTTCCTCAAGTAGTACTACGTACCGTTGTCTCGGCTTTTGGTTGGGAATTTCTCATAACTAATACTTCGTTGTAAACATTACTTCGTACCGAAGCAAGGAGTTTCCATCCGACAAGGCATCTTGGCATCGCACTGAACACGGCTCAATCACCTCAGCCATTGACAATATAACGAGCTAACGAGTTTCCAACCAGCGGCATCAAAATTATCGACTAGAATGGGTGGTGTCGGTATCGACAACGTCGGAACGGCATTCATTGATGAACCGTCGTCGGCAATCCACAGAGCTTTCTATTACGCCAATGCCTATTCCGATGGTTTCGGAAATGATTACAATGCAAACGATCACCCCGATGCCACGGAAATCCTTGGCAATACAAGCGACCAGTGCTCTTCCCCGGTTTTGTTGAATTTGGATCATATGGCGTCCTGTCATGAGCTGTATCCCGAAAACAAACCCATATGGAGGCTGGTCCTGCGCTGGATGAAAATCGTGGCGTACAATATCAACAGATCATATCGTGCCAAACCGATCCTGTTGGTGATGGCTCCGTTGACGCTGGGTATAACGATCGGATATTTCATCGGAAGGTGGCAGCAATCGTCGTCGTTACGAACCATCGAAACCGGAAGACCACAGCAACAGCCAAAACAAGGGGGAGGAATACTGCACGTTTATCTCGGGAATCTGGGGGAGCGGATATCTCTTCTTTGGTTCCGGTTTTGTCTTGTTGCATCTCGCTGCTTTTCAAGGGAGGACATTTCCACAAGAAGATGTTTTGCAACGAAGGGGTCGTCATTGTCGTCATTGCCGTCATCTTTGTCGACAAAGGAAATTCCTACGGATTGTCTGCTTGTCGCTAGCGGTAGTGATGGCACAGCTCACAGTGGTGCGCATGTATCAAAATGCGGAAGCATCGCAAACGACAAGGAAAACAACGTTTCTATAGATACATCTACAAACACGGGATTAAAAGCCCGGGAATCCAACACACGTAAATTTCTAAAAAGCGACGAGGGAACCTCGAGAGAAAGCGGTGTCCCACTCGAACAAGTGCCGAAGCACGTCGCCGTCATCATGGACGGAAATCGGCGCTACGGAAAAAACAAGTACGGAAGTGCAGCAAGGGGCCATTGGGATGGGAGTTCCAAGCTGGTTGAATTCGCCAAGTGGTGCATGGCCGAACACATTGCCGTCTTGACGGTCTTCGCCTTCTCGAGCGAAAACTGGAAACGAGACCCCGCTGAGATTGCTTCCCTCATGCAAATATTCGCAACATATTGCGACGAATTACGGATGGAAGCGATTGAGCGAAACATCAAAATCATGGTCTTGTCAACGGATTACGAAAAGGTAAGCATTACTCTTGTGTTGCGTCGCGTCGCGTCGTGTTGCGTTCTGCTTTGGACGGGTTTTGGATTGCAGATCGTGCAATAATTAGCATTTGATGGATCATATTTGAATCGCCTTTGGTTGTAGGAAACTTTGATCGATTCTATTGATTGGATTCAACTTTTTTCTCAATAGATCTTTTTCTCCCTTCGTTTGTTATACATATTTCCATCGCATGGAATTGATTGTATTCGGTTGTAGATACCAGCGCACGTTCGGGTGAATGTGAAGCGAATGGTAAACGAGACTCAGCATTGCAATGGTATGATCATGAACATTTGCCTGAGCTATGGTAGTCGGGGCGAAATCGTAGGGGCGACAAAATTGTTGGTGGACGATGTCCTGCGTGAGAAACTGGACCCCGAAACAATCGACGAGAAAACTATTGGAGAGCGGCTGCTAACTCATAACTGTGGGGGTGATCCGGATGTTATGTTAAGAACCAGTGGGGAGTTACGGATAAGCAACTTTTTGCTATGGCAATTKGCATATACAGAATTTTTCTTTGTAGACAAACCGTGGCCCGCCATGGAAAAGACCGACCTCATCGATGTCATCCAGAACTATGCGAAAGGTAGAAAACGACGCTACGGGCAATAGTTTAAAGGTTTAGAAAAAATAAAAACTAGCTAATATGAATTTCAGAGTCCTCGTAAATTGTTTCAAAGAGTATCAAGACGAACCCGAAATGTGGTTTTGGTTGATTCAATCAATCGTCTTATTGTATCGTTTTGCCTATCGGTAAAATCGTCGATGTACTAGGAAACAGGACTTCAGCGACTGAAGTTAGAAAATGACGTCGAAGATGATTGCTGCCGAGTCGAAAATGTACAGTAGTGCAGGGAATTCTCCGATGTCACTTTCAGAGTGAGTAAAAGGGGGGAAGCTTCGGACTGATCATTTTCAGTGTTACTAAGCGAAGTTCCCGTAATAAAGAGTGGCCTTGGAATAGTATAATTCTTGAAGGAAAGAAGCTGAGGAAATGTCATACGATGTATGAATAGCATGAAGGAAAATGAGATCTTTCATCAGAAAGTTCAGTATTCCGAGGAACGTAACAGCGCAGTGGTAGTTTACATGGCACTTGCATACCACGCCTGGAGCGCTGTGCTCAACTGAGCTCTTCGAGTGTTTGTTTTTTGGGTAGGGAGAGTTCTTCTTTCTAGAGATCAGCTTGCTACGAATGGTGTGTGTGAGTGTTGTAGTTCTTGTCAGTCATAAGATCACACCGGTTCCACCGGTGTGAGGGAACAATCAAAAAATTTGGCGCGACCTTGAGGGCTCCTGACGAGCGAAACGTTCATTCGCACCTGCGGAATAAAAGACGTGACGATCATAAGTCAATTGAAAGGGGTGTGTGTGAGTATTGTTCAGTGACAAAACCCATGTAACAAATGCACATGCAACACAACATGAAGCATACCATGGCATAGTAACGTTGCATAACATACCTCCAAATGTGTATTCCGMCTGAGTCTGACGTTGCCCGCCCAGTAGTCGGCGCTCGATACGAAACCTGTCCCACACTCTTCTTTCGGTGGATTTTTTAACATTTCACTCAGAGAGACAAAAACTTTTTCCATATGGTTCCGACTCAGCAGGTTGAATAGGGAAAAGTTCCTAACAGCATTCACGTTCTGGGATGCTTTCGCGGAACTGGTCTGTGTTTTCGGATCCTGTTCTATGCCCGTGCTGCTGTCGTTGCCGTTGCTGCTACTGGATGCTGCGTCAGGAAAAACGGCGCCCGACAAGTGTGATGAACCAACGTCATCCGCTATTATGGCAGAACTTGGCTGCTTACGATGTTGCTGTTGTTCCGCTGGCAGAAGATCTGTTCGTTCGAACCCGGTCATTTTCACAAATTCAGCGTTGCAGTCAATCAGTCGTCCATCAATGCTTGCCACGGCTAGCGGCATTCCGCATCTGTCGAAAATAGACTTGTAGTCTACATTGCGTACAAACACTAGTTCGTCCTCGTTGAAAATATCATTCGGACCGCCGCTAACAGCATTCGAATTGCTGCTGTTGGTAGCACCAGCCCCTCCGGACAAGGCCGAGTCTGGCTGGGCGTTCTCCGCTCTATTGCCCATCCCAGGATTATTACCCCCGCCGCCAGCTATCGCAGAAGCGGCAGAGACACCTGAATTTTGAAGGTATGGCTCGTTGACCATTTCGTTGGTTCTAGTTATTGTATCCAGCAACTTTTTGTGTTCCTGATCAAGCATAGTTGATCGTCTCTGCAATTGCTTCACGTACTCAACTACGCTCACCAGCGTTGAGTACTTGTCGGGTTTGAATCGAACGCTCGCAGCCGCCAAGACCTCTCGAAGCTGATCAATCTGGTGCGTAATCTTTTGAGAGCGCCGTTGTTCCCTAAGATTTCGATCCTGTCTTCTGCGAGAGCAATCGTCCTCGCTCTCCGAAACGGCCGTGGTGGTTCGTGACCGCTTGCGAGACGATACGGATGTCTTGTCTGCGCCGCCTCCCTTGTTCGAACCTCTCCTCTTCGAGGACGAAGCATGGGAAGAACCTCGTGAATTGGCAGAATTTCTAGAGTTGGCGGAACAAATGGATGCTACTCCCGAGGGGTCTGCATTCGGTAATGCATTGGTCGAGGTCGCTGCCGTGGTCGTCGGTTGCGATATTATGGGATTGGTCAGGGTCGAAGACGGTAGAATTGTTCCTAGGCCTGTTTTTAAAGTGTTGTCGCCATCGATAGTTCCGATCGTAGAATTCGTATTGTTTGTGCTTGTAAGACTTGTTGCACCAGAGGGAATTTGTTCCACGTATGGATTAATAGCTGTAGGTGCAGTTCCAGTTGCAGATGCAAAATTTTGAAAGTGATGCAGTGGGGCGATGGACGGTGCCTCACTAATCATCGTCATCCTCGTTGGAGATTGCATGGGCATCGAGAACGGATTCGGATTGCTGTTGTTACTAGTCTTCGTACTATTTGCATTGTCGCTTGTATTAGCCTCGTTAACTCCCAACCAATTGCAACTCGCATTGCTTCCACCAAGGGTACAATTCATCCCGAATATTCCTTGCCCCTGCAGAGGAGCCGTTTCTGTAGACGAATGCAGATGTGTATTCATTGGCAAACTCATCGATGCGTTCGAGGATTGGTTTGCCAGTTCTACTCCTGCGGCGGTTGTTGCTTCGTCCATAGCCTCACTGGCCAGCAGCGCATCTAGCGATTCAATAAATTGAAATTCGTCCATACTGTTCACGTTCTGTTCTTTTAACGTGGACTTAAACTAGTGCTACAGTATGAATCCTCCCACCAAACCAAATTCAACCAAATCGAGTTCGCTGTCGCACCTGCTAGGCTCTTGTGCTTAGACAGATAAGTGATAAGTTCCCTCGGTTTTACTAGTATTTCTCGATGCGAAATATCGGTCTCTCGGGGATTGTTGAGTTCTGTATTTCAATATGTTGCCTTTGGCCGTTCTGTTGCTCTTAATATCTGTTTCGTCTGATGGAAAGTAAACGCAAGATTGTTGTGTATCTAATATTGCCCGTAACCTTTTGCACTTGTTGATCTACACACGCAAATTGATTCGGCTCTTGTGCTAATCACACGCAGATTGATTCAGCTCTTGTGCTAATACAGTTGACTGTCAAAGCGCTCTGGAATACAGTTGTAGACTGTTCAAGTGTTCGCTTGMTGCAGTCTCCCGCTGGCGGTACAGTAGAGAGGCGTACTTGGGTAGTACAGWTCACTCACTCGTTTGGGAAGTATCCCTTGTACAGGAAGTAGATCCTTGCTGCCTCATCGTACTATGGGAGCTTCAACGTTTGAACTCAAGTTCAGTTATGAACTTTAGCATCTGCTCCTCCTGCCCAATCTGGTCATGCTTATTTAACACTAAATGTTACGTGTTAAAAAAAGGAGAATGGAGGCTTGGAGAAAATTAGAAATGTAGACGATCGTATATTTCGAASCTAAAAATATATATCGAAACTTCCCGTGTTTTCTTGGRACACGAGTTTCACTTTGAAACACTTAAGGGAAACATTCAGCAAATGGAACAAGAGACACGTCAATACATTGCAGCTGTCTCGTGCGAATGTGAATGTTCTCTGACTATATGAGCGCGACCTCAACAGATGACAATTGCAGAGTCAACTAAATACGCTCTTTCCACAACAACAGGGTACGTCAGAGGTGAGAGACGACGACACATTCTTGCTCGACAATTGCGACTCAACTTCTCGCTCCCTACGCGTGCCATAGCCGTGGTTTCTAATTTACGGTACCGGTACGAGGTACGAACCCTAAAGTGTGGATCGAATCAAGTACAAATAAACAGGCCGTTTTTTTTTTACCAGCAGCAAGCTTTGCTTGTTGCTTGTTAATGCTAACAAAGGACCAGTCAGAATCAGAGAGTCCGTTAGTCCAAAAGGGTTTTTCTTTCTCTATCTGGAGATGTGTATATGGATAGGTTTTTTTGCCAACGGACCTTTTCTTCTTGTGGCTTGTTGATTACTCCTCTGACCATGAAAAATGCAAAACAAAAGAAGACGAACAACCCCACCACCATCATAGGGAGGAGGAGGACCTGTATCACCCTCCAGACAGAGCATGTATCATCATCATCATCATCATCATCATCATCA